GCTAAGCTATATCTTGGGAGAGATTACATAGTTCTCATACCTAACCTTGCAGATTTTCAGCATTCTTAGATGAGAATTCACGTGAAAGTACAAAAACATTCCAGAATTTGGTGGTTTCTACAAGATTTGAAAGATTTTTCTCTTTAAGTATTATACTGCACCATATTACATTGCATTGTTTGAAATGAGGGCATTTAAGATCATAGCTGATTCTGGGAGCGACAGGCACCTTGGCAACTATACACTATATGCTGACTTCTGATCTAAAGTAAATGGCAAGTAAGGGAAAAGTGAAGGGAGCAATAGTCAGTAAGTCCTCTTCCCTTAAGGTCTGTCCTTGTAATCTAAAATTGATGCTAAATGTTAGACAGCAGTTGGCAAATTGAGCATGAAAGGCTGCCACTCTTATTATAAGGCCCGCCTTTGATTTCACATATCCCGATTCAGTTCTATGGAATTTGGGTCATATATAATGGAGATTGGCAAGTACCCCTGACCGCTTTACCCAGAATGAAAAAAAAAAAAAAGAGTGGGATGGAACAGTGTTTTCCAATATACCTGAAAGAAGTGTGCTTGAACACTGCTTTCTGCTCTAATACCTTGCTACCCACCTACAACAATCTGTCACTTGAGATGGTTGCATCACCCTCCCCAGTGCTATTGAAACAAGTAGAAAGGCAGGATACAGTATACAGTGACTGAATATGTAAAAGCTAGGACAACTGCTAACCTTGTCCTCAAATCACTCCCACCCTCTTATGCCCAAATTTAGCTGCATGGCAGAAACATTCTAACATCATCAAGTGTTTGGATGAGCACAGAACATAATAAAGAATATGTTAGCATTCTAAGAATTTGGGATCATATATTTTATTTCTGAGATAGACTTCTCTATGTAGCAAAGTCCATCCACAAATAGACCAACCTACATATATACAGCAATAGTGGACCAAGGAGCAGCGTATTTGACCAATCCAAGATAGTCTCATCTAAAAGAAATGCTCAGGGAACTATGAGATGTAAGAATTGAAGTTAATGCAAGAATGTACTAAATTGGTAGCCATCCAATTCTTGCTTAAGAACCTCCAATGGGAAATGGCAGGAAAGAATAACAGAATTGGAATGGACCTTGGAGGTCATCTAGTCCAACCCCCCGTTCAAGCAGGAGACCCTCAACCATGTTAGACAAATGACTGTCCAAAAAGTTTTGAAACCAAGAGAAATCTCCTTTACCGCTGTCCCTGTTCTCTTCTTTCAGAATTAAGAAACACTTTTCCAGATGTGGCTAACTATAGCAGATCAGTGAAGGATGCTGGGAGTTGTAGTTCATCAACATTAGTGTTGAGTGCAGCCATGCAGAGATTGATGAAGTACATCTTCCCATGTTCCTCACCACTGAACTGCTGGGCAAGGCAGCCACATCTGGAAAACCTGACCAATTTCAACCCCAAAAGAATAAAATAAGTTTTAGTGGGAATTTAGCGCTAGCTTTTCTCATGAACAAAACAGGGCATTGTGGCCCAAAAAGGCCATGCTTAGAATTACTGCACACTCTGTGAGAAAAGAACATCCTTAACCACAAACCATGTGCAGATAGCAGACCAATCCTTATTTTTTGCACAACTATTCCAGTGCAATAAATAGAACTCATAACACAACAAAGCACCGATATGCATCTGTAATACAATGTTTTTCAACCTCTGCAAATCCAAGATGTGTGGACTTACAGCTCCCCAAATTCCCCAGCCAGCTATGCTTAAATCATGCTGGCTGGGGAATTCTGGGCATTGAAATCCACCATCATTATTCAAGGTAGGCTGTTTCACTGCTTTAACAGCTTTAATCATTAGGAAATTCTTCTGAACTCTTTAATTTCAGTCTATTTTAGTCTCTATTCTATTCTCAGTTTCAACAGAGAATTGGGCCATTTCCACCTGGATGTGACTGTCTTTTAAATATTTATAGACTGCTACCATATCTCCCATTAGTTTTCTTTTTTACAAACTAGTATTTTGCAAACTTGTGATAAACAAAACAAAACAAATACAACTTCTAATAAAGGGTCTCTTAATATAATTTGGCAAAATTCTTTCCAACTTCCAATATTTCACATACTTAACATTATAACCTTCCAGAATCACTACAAAAATATCACACATCATCAAGCAACCTGGTGATGGCAGTCCCCAGTTTTCAACAGCAAGGGTCCCTAAAGTTTTGTGCTGCTAGGAACACTTGTCCATTCACAAAATGGCTGCAATGGAAGAACATAACCAGTTATAAAGCATTGATTTACAGGCATGTTATGTACCATCACTCTCTACCCGCCACCGCATGCAAAATGCTACCACCTATTCCTGATTTCATTTTTTGTGTACAAGGAGATACCCTAAGCAGTGAATTACATACAACCCTTATTTTATTTCTAAGAAATAAGATCGAGATAAATTTTTGAAATTAAGATGATACTGATGTTGGATACTTTCTTTGCTCTGCATCCATGCCAACTTTCCATTTTTTTAAAAAAAAAAATCTTACTTTTAAAAATTACATGTAATTTAATGTAAGTTATTTTAACTGTGAATGGGTGCCAAGAAAGATGTATTCTGATACTAAAGATCACAGTGGCCAGCTTTTATTGTCCAAACACATTGGACTACAACTGCTCAACTTTCTGACTAACAGGCTCACTATGAATCTACTGTATTTTTGTTGTTCTGAATCCCCTGGAAACTTGAATGGATTTATTGTTCACAAAAGCTTGCCTGTCAGATATGTCCCTTCTTCCATGACACTCACCAAAAAATAAACAATAATTAAACTAGCTCCCAAAAATCTAATACTTATGCCACCTCTAACTGAAAGACATTGACTTTTTCAGAATGCATCTAAACTTATACTGATAGGAGCCAAGTTACCTTTGGCAGTGAAGTACTTATCCATGCCCATTTCTAACTTGCAGAAACTTAACTCAACTCCTACATTCTTATCTATAGCTTGTCTATATGTTGTTCAAACTGTGCTAACCCATGACATGTTTTAATAATATTATAGTGCCCTAGTTCACATAATTTCTGGATTAACAAATCGCATTTTGATTTGTTAGTTACTAAGTTACTAACGTTACTAAATAGGCTAAATTCACACAATAAGCTAGATTAGGCCAATATGATGTTGGATAACTGGTATTTCAGCATGTTTGGGGAATCCAAACATTATCATAATATATGAGTTAGTCCATCCACAATGAACCAGCATAGTTTATTTGGGCACTACATGTTGTACACTTGTATTGTATTAATCTGGGTTTAAGGATTAACAAGAGTACACCCAGTCTGGTATAAATCCTACTATAATAAAATTGAACCATGATTTACAAATTACAGTCACTCATTTCATCATACTGAGTTGAAACAAAACAAACCTTGCTAGGGCCTCTCGTCATGTATAAACCTGGGCAGTCTCACCTTAGATTCCATCAAAAGTTATATTCCTGCATGTACTTTTTTTTTCTGGATGGGAGTCCATTTTTCTTTCAATTCAATTGCCTTTCCTATGGAAAAGCAGAAACCCACCCATCTCTGATCTATCATGGCAAAATGGTCTTACAATGTCAACTGAAACCCAGTTAAAGCTGGGAAATTATGCCTGATTTGCCTTTTATTCTTCCAATTTGTTTGACATGGGGTGAGAATGTAGCTAATCAAAGAGTCCAAAGGGAAAGGGGGGGAAAACAGATTGCAATGATTATATTCCTTAATTTGTCAGTGACCTAATCCCACCATCACCATCACACACATAGACACACACACACACACACACACAGAGAGAGAGAGAGAGAGAGAGAGAGAGAGAGAGAGAGAGAGAGAGAGAGAGAGAGAGAGAGAGAAATATATAGCCCCAATTCAGTGGATAAAATGTGAGAAACTGAGCTTTCACATCAAATGTGTTATTCTTCCTACTACCAGCAGCCCGCTGCAAAAACGGGTCCATTTATATACCCTCCCTACCTCAGTGTTTCATGAAAGCCATGCTTTGCAAAAAAAGAGGATGAAGAACAGCGTTTCTCTTCCCATCCTCCTTTGTAAAATCAAGTTTCTTCAGCATATCTCAGTCTGTTGGATTGTCAAACAAGAAAATGCTGTTTGAATTTCTTCCCTGCTTCTCCTACTCCTGGTATTTGCACATAAAACAGAGGGGGGGGGGAAACATGGTGAGATCCATGATGGCACTTTCAGTCATGACATTAGTACAATTCTTCTAAAATCACTTTTGTTGATATATAACCTGCAAAGGCAATTCACTAATTCAGTTCTTAACTCAAGTGAAAGACTAATCCTATCAAAAGTATCCCTGTTCCATTATCTCTATGATAGAAGAGTTTTGCTACATTCTCCCTTCAATATTTAAATGCACAAACATAAATCCTTTCCTAACAGATTTTAATGAATTAAGGGGACATTTGCCTTAAACGTTGAAAAATCAAGGCCTTACAACAGTAAGAATCAATGAGAATCAGGTGAAAAGGTCCTCTTTGCCTAAGATATGTAGGCCTTCTCAAAATTAAGAGGTAAACCTGTAAGTTGGAAGCTATTTCAGATGGAAGATGGAGATTTGCACATCTGAAGGATCCTCCCTGCAAAGCTTCCTTGCACAAACTTCCCCATCAAGAGAAGAGAGGTACACTAGGGAGAATATATGGTTTTAAAATGTCTTCTGGATAGGCTAGTTCCTTTCATTCAGAGAATTGTATTTAATGAATAAACAGCAATTCTTTATGAAAAAGGAGTCTTCCTTATCTTTACTTAGAGACCTTGAACAGGTTTACAGTAGTCAGAACATAGGATTTTAGTCTCAATTGCTATTTTATGAAAACTGGGCCCCAGATCCTTGGAGTTGTCATTCATGTTGATAATAACAATCATGTCCAAGGACCACTAGACTTCCCAGAATCAAGGTTTCTTTTACAGTCACTATAAATACTAGATTCAAAGGCCTACCTGTATTGGGGCTGTGCTGAAGTGGATCTTGCGATTAGGGACAGCCTCATCCTCTTCTGACAGCCCAGGGATCTCGACACAGCTAGATTCTGGTGCATACAGTCCATCACCATCCTCATCTTCATCTAGCCCACTCCCTCCTGAATCCTCCCCCAGTCCACTGTAGGCACTAATGTCCACCAGGTCAGCCTCAGAAAAGTCCTCCTTCTTAGACTCATCACCTAGGTCATTCTCCTCTGGTCCCTCAGCCTTGGCCACTTCCTCACAGTAAGTGTCTGCCAATGGGCCTGGAGTTTCTAAATATCTTTCACCACCCATCTGGCCATTTTCCAAGGCCGCATGCACTGTGACCTCAGCCTGAATCACCTCGGCCCTGAGAGGGTCAGGCGCCTTAGAGGCCTTGCTGTTCTCATCTGCCACTGCTGCTGCTGCCACCGCCACCTCAGCTGCCTCAAATTCCTGTTCAGAGTCTCCACTCTCTTCCACTTCCACAGGCTTGATCTTGCGCACTTCTTGGACCTTCTGAGGACGTAGCCCCATGTTGGAGTCCTTATCCCCTGTCTTTCCTGCTACTGACCCACCAGGCACCAGCTTGTTTTGGGCTTTGTCAGTCTCAGGCAACCTTGCTCTTACTTGGAGTGCAGGCCCATCACTATTCCTGGTTTCCATCTTGGGCCCTCCTTCTGGAGTCTGGAGGAAAACCCTGGACCTTTTGCTAACAATTTTGGAGTTGAGAGGCCCAACTTTGCCAGGGGCTTTATGGAGGTTATTCCTCAGGTCAGCCTTCTCAAAGACAGCACTGAGTTGGCTTACAGTGGGAGAAACAGCCTCTGTGTCTAGCTTGTCTAGGGATTCTGTGCTGCCGTTGAACCTCACCACCACATCCAACTTCCGGTCTTGGAAGCCAGCTCTCTCCTTCCTCAGAAGTAGTTTGTTGGTGGTCTCCTTCTCCTGGAGACTCCTCTCGAAGATCTTCCTTGTCTCCTGGAGCTTGGACAATGGCTTATCTGTTTTGGAGTCAAACCGGCTCACCCTCTCAGATACGCTAGTGCCCAGTTTCAACAATGCACTATGGTCTACATTCTCGTTCAGACTGCTGGCCCGGGGCAAGGACAACCGGACCGGCTTCTCCTTCATCTTGGCCAGATCAACTGCTCCCTCCCCTGGTGGCGGCGCAGTGCCCATTTGCAGGAACATATTTTTGATCCGATGGACATTAGATCCATACTTCTTGTTCCTGGCTTTCTTGGCCTCCTCACTGTCAGCTTGGCCCAGGGCATCTTTGGAAGCTTTCAGAGCTTGGATGCCAGCTTCATAGGCGTTCCGGTGAGGTGAGGCACTCCTCAGGCCACCTCCAGCCCCATTGCCACTGGTGGTACTGCCCCCACTGCTGCTGGTGCCACTGCCCCCAGGATTATTAGGGGACTCAGTCTTCATCATGATTCACCAAATCTTCTGGTGTCGCTGACACCACATAGCCTCAGGCTTCCTCCACCCCCGGGCCACCCTGCCTCCTCTGCCTCCCTTCACTTCCAGCAGCCGCAATACAATCACATCGCGAGAACCCGAAAGGGGCAAGGCGGCACGGCACGCCGCTTCTTCTTTACCAGACAGCGCTCATTGTGTGTCAAGGAAAAATGTGGTCAACCGGCGATGAGGGCGGCGAGGAGAGAACCGAATCCAAGGAGCTTCTGATCCACGGCGGTGGCAGCGGGAAGACAGATCCTCCGAAGGGTCTGGATTAGCTGAGGCCCATTGCAGCCGGCTCGTCGGATGTGTTCACCTCCCCTTCATCCCCCCCTCCTCCTCTTCCTCTCCTTCCTTGTCGCTTTCGCTCGCTCGCTTTTGCAGCGCGATGACGGAGACCAAACCCTTCTGCAAACGCCACAGCCTGTCGCTCCTTAAAAAAAAAAAAAAAAGTGGAGGGGGGAGAGCAGAAGGGGGGAAATGAAGAGAAAGGGGGGAGAAACCGCTGGGTCTTAAAGTGATCACACTCCTTCCACCTCCCTCGATTTCTGCTATGGCAGGAAAGGAAGCAAAAAAAAAAAAAAAAAAAAAGGGCAGCGACGCGTTCTTCCTCTCTTTTTCTCCGCCCCCCCCAACCCTCCGTTGCTTTCTCTTTACCGAATAAGCGAAAATGAGTCCATCAATCCAATTGTAAGAGGAAGGAAGAGATGCGGTGGGGAGGGAACATCGGCTATGCCAGCTTTTGGATTTACCTCGCCGATGAATTATTAAAAAAATATAATCAAGACAATGTAATCCAATCCCTTCCGCGTGTCGTCTGTTTCACGCCTTATTGGCATCGGGGGGAGGCGCGGTTTAAGGATTCGTGTCTACGCACACATATGCACCCATCTCACGTGTCCTTGCTCCAAAATTGGATTAACCGTGGACGCCCCTTCCCAGGAATTTGCCCACCCTGATATTTTCCAATTCTTTGGGGACACTGTCACCTCCGAATCGCGAGCGGTGTCACTGATGCTGTGGAAATTCATCTCTATTTTAAGGTTGAATTGTGTTATTGAATCTAGGGGGAACACTTTATCTGACCCACCGGGAGTGTCTAACCCTTGGCCCATGGGCCTCGTGCAGCTCTGGGCAGCTAATAATGTGGTCCCACAAGATCATAAACTTCTAATCTTATTATGTGCTTTGTATACATTAACTATGTTATATATTTGGTATAAGACAATTCCTCTTCACTCGGTGTGGCCTAGACAAGCCAAAAGGTTGAACACCCAAAAGGTCCACAAAGATTGTTTATATTCATACAGTTCTTTTAATCTGGATGGGCATGAATAATCCATTTGCTGGGTCCCACAATACACTTAAGTTTTGCAAAACAGCTGCCAACATGTTAATTGAACATTGCCAAAACCTGTGCGCAACACAATGAATTTATTTGGGCCTACAAAAAAAAGTACATAAATAACAAACCAAGATACCACTATTATTTTTTAGTAAAATCTGTTTTGACTCAAAGGCATTGCCACCATGGTGGTGTATTTTATTGCTATCTTTTTCTCAGACAAATGTAATACTTTATGCTCTTTTTACACTATTACAAAGTGTGCTTTGATAAATACAGTGCTTTTAAGCATTGTGAGCTTTCCTAATTATGTAAGTGACAAAACAAATGGAATAAGTTTGGGGTGGGGGGGCGGGAAACAAGTGCTTTGTAAATATGGTTATAGAGAAAAAAATCCAGCCACTATATTTAATTCCAAGGAGAAGGTTCTAACTTTAAAAAACATGCAAGGCCTGAAAATGGATGCTGCTACTGCATATGGGCACATAGAACAAATGTATCACTTACCTCAGGAATATTCCCTCCATTGAGACTAGAGAAAATAAATTACAATTTTTTTCCCGGTGCCATGCTAGTCTGTATGCACAAACTTGCATTTGCTCATTCCTTCATTCGATAAAGGAAAATGTTCCAAAGTACAGTAAGATAATCTGATAATTCTTAATAGTTATTCAAAATATTGTTGTTAATGAAGCTATAAATTAGAATTCTCCATCTTAACTCATGAAGCGAAAGCATTCAGTACAGTTTGCTGTGCTTCCAGAAATAATTATGATTGATAGTGAAATGAACATGTTCTAAATTAGGAATAAAGACAGAATCAGTCCAATAGATTATCTAGGCTTAAACCTGCCAAGAGTGACTGGCAATGGAATTCCTAAAATGTGTTTTTTTTTTCAACTAGAGGTGCTAATTTTGTCATAAGTAGTGTATAACTGATATGATGCATCCACCCAAGTTTAACCTTGTATTGATTTAATCTTAATGGGTAGGTTGAGGCACATGTGAATGAATAATTAGAACAATACATTTAGCCAGCTGTCACATGTCTGATCTACAAGGCACTGGTGTGGAGAAGTGAATATGGTGAAGCAGGGTGTGTACCCCAAGTGAACCTGTTCAGTTCAAACTCATCTCTTCATGTGTGACCTACTAGTCAGGCTAAACATAGGTCTAGCTAGTACACTTCTGAAAGAGTGTTAAACTCAAATAGAAAAATAATGTAAGAAGTAGCACAGAGGTGGGACCCCAAATGAAGCAAGAAGCAATGATAATGAACAAGTTCTGTTCTCAACTAGTGTTGCTGGCAGTGAGTAACCAGAGTTCAGTTCTGATTTCACTGCTAGCAGCATCCAGGAAAAAAACCCCCATTAGATGGTCATGTGGTTCGGAGAATAGTGACTGACCTGCATGTAATTACAAGAGTTATCATCATGGCATCTAGCCCCGCTAAAAACCAAATGGATAAAGCAAAACATATTCCTAAAATAATAAAAACAGTATAGTTGTGTACAATTTCTCTTTGGCAAAAACAATGGAAAACTGAAATTGATCCAATGGTAACAAAATGAACAATACACAACTGGCAGAATATGGCTTTTTCCTAGTTTAAATCAACTTATATAGAAGGGATGTCAAACTTGCAACGTCACATGATGTGTCGCGACATATCGTGACTTTTTTTACCATTGCCAATAGGGTGGGCGCAGTTTTGCTATGATGCATCCAGCCCACGGGCCAGCAGTTTGACATTCCTGTTATACAGGTTGAGACTAGCATACTTGAAAAAAACCAGTAAACCTATATTTATAAGAGCCAAACTCTTAGGAAAGTGGTAGATAAGTATTGTCCATTCTCTTTTATAATCCAAGACAATCTGGTCATGGAAGGAATTTCTCAGAGACTAATGGGAAGGGGCATATCTGAAGCAGCCTAAAGTAATCAGTGGAGCCAGACAGATCTTAATCTGAAGTGCCAGAACATATCCATGACAAAAACTGTTTTGGGAAAAGAGGAAAATACTTTAAATCTGGAACAGCTAAACTTGACTCTACCTGGAGAGATATCAGTACAACTGATGGTGAGGATAAGATGAAGATAATATCCTGATGATATGGCATAAAAAAATAGATAGCAAGATACCATGTCTCTGCCATAGTTAGGAGAAAATAAAGAAGAGCCCAAACCTATGAGAAAAATGTAACTATTCTCAGTATGTTATACAAATATAATCATTAAGTTTTGATTAAGCTTATCATTTGTGCACTGAGAAATACTGATATTGCATTATCTATAAACTTTTAAATTCCACTTTGCTTTCAAACATTTTGATTATTGATTGATTGATTCATTCATTAAGTCTCATCAACAACCTATAAGAGGCAACAAAGAGGACTACTGCTGGACCATCATCAATTTTTATGATGAACTGATACCATCATTTGAATCATGCAGAGACTGCTTGCAAAAATTATTTTGTGATACCTTTTTCTCATTATTCATTAAAGGAAAATACTATAGGGATGTGATTTGCATAAAACAGAGGCAATTTGGAGAACATGGTTCATTTTACGAAAGTTCCTCCATTTTACTCCTAAAGGCTACAACCAATGACCATTTTAAAATTATTCATTGCATACAGAGCCTGCAAAATAGGATGCTCTCAAGGTTGTTCATATGGCAATGGATATTTACAAAATCAATCTTAGCAAATACTCATAGAAAATGTCCTTTTTAAATGTAATATTGTTTTATTAAAAGTGTATTTAAGATATCCTGTGTGTATACATTTTCCAGTTACACTGAAGCATGCATAGTGTGTTTTGGAAGAGCTACTATTCTGTTGATTATGATGTGTAGCAGTGTTTTTCAATCTCAGGAACTCTAAGGTATGTAGACTTTAACTCACAGAATTCCTCACCAGAAAATTGTGAGAGTTGGAAGTTCACACATCTGAAAGTTGCCAACTTGGAAAAGCACTGATCACTGTCCTGATTTTTTTTTTTATTGTGAAATTAGGCCATGTAAACTAGCGATACGTTGCTCATTTTAGCTTGTTATAAGTATAGCTGGATTACGTCTACTTTTACACTTTACTGGGAATATTACTATATTACAGAAGTTACATATAAGATCTAAATTAGTCCTCATCTAACCGTTTCAAAGAACCCAAAGCTGCTTTGTTCAGCTGAAATGTGTCATCTGTGAACAATGATATGAAATGAGGAAAAGACAACTTTTGAACTAATACAATATAAGTAAAATTGTCTTACATAGACAGAGGTTTCTAGTAGTTTGCCTTAGTCAATGGCTTCTTTCAGGATAACTTTTCAATTTCCTAGTCTAATCTGCAGTCCTGGTCTTTCCAAACAGATCCCCATCTGAATGGTAACTGAGCCAGTTCTGTTTAGTTCCTAGGTCCTCTGATTGGCCAGATACTAAGTTTTGCACCCTTTCCACTTCACTGCCCTTTCACATATTACTCAGTAGCGAATTTAGTTTGCCAATTTCCTGATCCATAAGGGGGCCTTTTGCTTAGTATGATAAATGAACCTTCCCATAATGGCTAAGCACTCTATTTGAGCCAAGCCATTATAAGTTGTTGTACAATAAAAAGGTGAACAATGTGAACTTAATATGAACCCAGCTTTACCTCCATCACAAATACATTAACAAATGCATATTGGTTATATTGACAAAGTGTTTTGTTTTCTCAAAAGTTTTCATGTTATGCTCTTTTGGGGAGTTCCTGCCTAACCACAAATGTTTCATTTCTGCCAGTCCTCCTGTAGTTCACAGCCATTTATCATCATGCATGTTGAGAATCAAATCCATGGATAGAAACATGTAACTGGCCATATCAGACAGCGGGGGAACATCCTAGTTGCAAAAGAGGCTATTTTAGAAGGGGAGGAGGAAAGGCATTAATGCATTACTCTGAGGGATCACTTGTAGGTTAATCTTCTTGGTTAGGCACACCCTCTTCATAAACTGAAGAGCATGTTGTCTCTTTCTGCTTGACGCATGGCTATGGCCTTTGGGTCTGTTGAGACAGGTGTTGTAAAGAAAATACTTGCTGAGACTCAAAAAAAGGACTGAACATCAAGGAGATATTTTGCACCTTAGCTCACCCAAGATCATATCCTGTTCTTGAGCCTAGGTTTGGGAGGAAAGGAAGGGTAAAGAAAGAGAGAAGGAAGAAGAAAGGGAGGAGTACCAGGACCCTGAGGAGTAGGAGGCTGACTTCCCTTTTATGCTTATGGTTTCCTTCATGCATCCATGCCAGAAAAAAAATCCTATTCTAGCTTCTTCATTGTGCTCCTCAGTTCAAACATTAGCTTCAGTCATTCCAGCAAGAGATCTTGTGGAGGAACTCATGGCTGCAAATTATTTTGATCCCAGTAAAAGCCTAGAATTCTTCAGAAACATGGGTGGTGTGACGCTTCTAGATGACTCCTGTAACAAAGGGGAAATCACTTTGTATATGACCGGAAGCTCTTTCAGATCCTCAGTTTGAATCCTGAAACTTGAAGTTCAGAAAATGCACCCTGATGCTAATGGATGTGAAAACTGAGAGGGTAGCACATACAGCTTTCATAACTTGGAAAATTTCTTTTCAATCGAATGATTTCAAAATTATATTCCTCTATTTTATATCCCATTATTTCCTTTTAGCAAAGTTTGCTTTCACTTTATTATCACACTTTTCTTTCAGCTGAGTTTCTTTGTTTACACCAAAATTTATTCAAAAAGCAGAAGGGGGAGAGTTAAAAAACGAAAGCAGCAGCCTAAAGTTAAGTTCTTCCAATCTGCACCTTTTAAACAGTAGGAGCTATCGCTTTGTCATCCTCAGACAAATTGGCAGTGATCGGATTTGTTTTTCAACCAATCCATAAAGTAGTATTCTGAGGGAAATTTCAAAGTGAGTGAGTTAAGCCTTAATGTTTCACCATCCCAACAAATTCTTGCATTGCACAGGAAGTGTGAGAGGGGAAGTGCAAACCACTGATGCTTTTACTAGTGTCTCCTCTACTACCCCTAGCTTGAATATCACTAATTGCACAAAGAATCTGAAGACATGATAGAAGAAGCAATTAACCTAACTAGGGATGTCTTACTGTTTCCATATCAAAGGAAATAAAGACCTTATTCTTAATTCTGGTACTCAGCATTTAAAACTTCTGGTATTTCTTCCACCTTATAAAGATACAGGAAAGGATTTTTATTTCTTTCTTTTTCCATTGTCTCCATCCTGATCTGATTTATTTTCACATTTGAACTTTCTTTTGCTGACTTTTCCCATCCACAACCAACACCATGCACACTCCAATTTTGGTCTTATTCTGCTTATTTTTCAGAGAATTATCCTGATGACAGAAGTCTGAAGCCCTTTGCCTCATTTCTAATATTTTGTTGGGCTGGGGAGAATTTTTAAAAGTGGCCCTGTTTATTTTAAGCTGTGGACTAACCATTTAGGTTCTCCCTACTTTAGCCTACCCACTAACAGAATATGGTGAAATCGCAAATACAAAAACCCTACCTTTTCCCCAGGCCATAATGGCAGATCAAGCTTATAACTATTCTCTGGAGCAATGGAATAGATGAAGTTCAGAATAACAGAGGAGACCTTGGAGGTCTTCTAATCCAACCCCCTACTCAAGCAGGAAACTCTATACTATTTCAGACAAATGGTAAAAACCTCCAGTGTTGACCTACCCACAACTTCTGGAGGCAAGTTATTCCAGTGATTAATTGTTCTGTCAGGAAATTTTTCCTTAGTTCTAGGTTGGCTCTCTCCTTGATTTGTTTCCATCCATTGTTTCTTGTTCTGCCTTCAGGTGCTTTGGCGAATAGGTTGACCCCCTTCTTCTTTGTAGCAGTCCCTTAGGAACACTGCAATTATATCATTTCTAGCCCTTCTTTTCATTAAGTTAGACATACCAATTGCTGCAACTGTCCTTTGTATATTTTATCCTCCAGTCCTCTAATCATCTTTGTTGCTCTTCTCTGCACGCTTTCTAGAGCCTCAACATCTTTTTTATATTGTGGCAATCAAAACTGGATATTCCAAATCATTATAAAGTGATATTAACACTTCACGTGATCTTCATTCTATCCCTCTATTAATGCAGCCTAGGATTGCATTGCCTTTTCTGGCAGCTGCAGCACACTGCTGGCTCATATTTAAGTGATTGTCCACTGGGACTCCAAGATCCTTCTCACAGTTGCTACTATTGAACTACTACTCTATACCTGAGCATTTGGTTTTCTTGCCTAAATGTAAGTCATTCAGTAGGTCACTCAGTAGATGTCTCAGTAGGTGAAACATGGTCAATCTCTAGCTAGACTTATACATTACACAAAACCTGATTGACTGATTAGTTGCCAAACTCAGATGAGCTCTGTAGTTTGGTTCTAGATTAGATCATTTTCCTACTAATGCCTCAATCTTACAGCATCATCCCGCCTCTACTGATGCAATGTAAAGCCTCTCTTCATTGCTATCACAATGATCCAATGACAGCTGGATGGACACTGTTCAATGATGTATTATGATTAATCTTAGAGTGTTTTGATTTGGGTCCAGCCATTTGGCTTATAAACTGTAGCTTATAATGCAATGTGTGGCATTTTTTATATCTCCACCTAATCTACTTTAAAAGGTTGTGCAAATTTTAAGACTGGTAAAGCAAAAATGATGGCCTGTGTCAGTAGCTTTAGCATCGACTTTCTAACTTCTCAATTATTTTACCTACAAAACTGGCCAGCAACTAGTAGAGTGTAGGATTTGTGTGTTTTCCAGTAAACTTCAACTATTATGGCCTAGTGGTTCCAGACATTAGTAGAAACCACTAGAAAGATAAAAAGCCTGAAAAAGTCCTTAATGGCAGATAGACTAGTCTTATCATGTCTTTTGACATAAGGAATGATCTTGACTACAAATTCAACTATTGGGAAAGGCAGGAGCTTAATCCCTGGGGTTTCCAGAGACCAGTTGTCTTCTGGGACCCTGGAGAATGGTTGCCTCTCATTGTTGTTCATCCTTGATAACAGTGGTGGTCATTAGAAGTATCGGTTTCCAACTTCCATAGCTGTCATATGACATATCTGGTTGTCAAAAGATTGGGAAGGCTTTCTTGGCGGGAAATCCTGGAATTTGTAGTTTCATCACATCTTGGGGTCCCAACATTGGACAAGGCTGCTAAAGACAATCCTGAGCTAAATGGACAAAATTAGCTTCCAAAATCTTGATACTTCCTATATTACTTCATGCAACTGATCAGCTCTGGATCTTCATCAAGCGATATTCATCAATTTATTTTGAGTGCCGAAAGGTAAGTTTCCTTCTCCACAAAACCTGCAAAATATTCTTAATCTGGGAGAGGGAAATTATGAAGGATTATGAAATATCAGAAAGGCATTAATATCTAATTGCCTGTATTATTCCAAAAAATTCCTATGGTATTTTTTTTACTCATAATCCCATTTCTTGGATCTGTAATCATAACTGTGCTCACCTGAGTGAATGTTCAGTTCTGGATTGGTTTGTAGGTCATCAGTAAATTGTTTATACATGAAGCTTCCAAATCAGCAATATGAATTAGGATTTGAGTGTATTAATCCAGGTCTGAACTAGAATAATGCTGTGTGAAGAAAAAGAAAAGACATCCACCTACCTTTGCCATCAAGCTGACTACAACTATATGATGACTGGTTTCCAGCACAGTTTGAAAAGAATAAATGTGTGAGGCTGTTCTCATTGATGTTTCTCCCCTGATATATTTTCTACAATGGTTTATATTTTCAAAAAGAGTTGAAATGAAAACTAGGAAAATGTTGCTTTTTTAAAAAAAGAATTGAACTTTAAAACCAAAATGAACATCAATAGTTGGCCTTAGAACATTTTTTTTCTATTTGAATGTTTATTCCTCTTTTTACTCAGTGTTGCAGCAGCATAAAAGCTAACATCAGCAACATTCACAATATTAAAATACATATATTTCATAAGAAAAATGCAGTGATGAAATATTGAGAGTCAATACCTGAGAGGAATTAGAGGAACTAAAACCATCTTAGATCAATGACTTTGAAAAATAAAACAGGTATCTAGAAAGAATAGATTGTAGAAAAAGAATCATTATATAATCATAAAGGAAGAGGTAAATTTATAATTTTACTTCTAATTACTGTAAAGAAAATCAAAAGCTGTTTATTTTTTTGCTTTTGGACTTTTAGCTCTTTCTTTGATTTCTTTTTTCTTCTCTTTCTAGATTTTGTTAGTTTCTATCTTCTTTCCTTATATGAATTAAACAGATATCCAACCAAATGCCTGAAATATGAAATAAGCTCACTCACAGATTGGATGCTGCTGCTGAAAAGACCCCATTTGTCACCACCAGCCAATTCAATATAACCATTTGAATGAACAGAAGAATAGCTAAAGCTGTGTGAGGAGAGAAATATAGTGGCTATTGGTTTATTTTACTTATTTATTCATTCAATTAAATTTTTATGCTGCATTTGTCACAGTTGCAATTATAAGTGTTTTCCAAATGTAAATAAAGTTAAAAATGTCTTATGACTGGTTCATATTTAGATTGGAGACTGTAAAGAAATTTCAGAACTATAGGCTAGAAAACAATAGCAAATTATTTCTGCATTATTGCTCACGAAAATAACAAGTTGCTCATATAGTAAATGCAAAGATCTAACAGGAGTTATATCAATGTGTTTGGAGAGCCATCTTTATGCAATTTCTCCATGGTGAGCAGCAACTACTCGGGGTTTTTTTCATATTATCAACTGAATTATAACGAATTCTCAATATACAACTACAACTGAGCCCAAAATTTATATTGCTAAATGAGAAATTTGTTGAGTGAGTTTTGCCCCATTTTACGACTTTTTTTGTGGTTAAGTGAATCACTGCAGTTGTTAAATTAGTAACATGGTTTTTAAGTTATTCTGGCTTCCCCATTGATTTTGCTTGTCAGAAGGTCACAAAAGGTGATCACATGACCCGGGAACACTGTAACCCATCATAAATATGAACCAGTTGCCAAGCATCTGAATGTAAATCTCATGACCATAAGGATGCTGCAACAGTCATAAGTATGAAAAATGATCATAAGTCACTTTTTTCAGTGTTGTTGTAATTTCAATCAGTCACTACACAAATTGTTGTTAAGTGAGGATTATCTGTACAGACCCCCATAATTCGTTCCTGGTTCCTTGAAACTGTGTCCATGTTTTAAAACCTAAATTGGAAAGAAGAGATTACACTTATCTTTAAGAAAATAAAATTCCATTACAAAGAACATAACTTCTTCAAAAGCAAGCTTTTTCTTGTGGCTTCTGTTGTAATTAATATTATTTAGGTTTCAACTTTTAAAAACACAATTAGAAAATTAGAAAAATCAGATTGTATCTGTACTAAAAAAAAAAAAGCTATTTTTTTCCTGTTAAAAATATGCAGACAGAATTTATTGTCATTTCCATTCCAAAGGAAATGGTGATGCAGCACAATTTAAGCTGGCATGCCTGGATGGGAATGGAGGTTTGTACTGTTTACATTTCCAGTGAACAGCAGGAGGGGGGAACGAATGCAGTCATCCCAGCATCACCCACCATCCAGGTTCTGTCAAAAAGAGGACACATTGTTCACATACAATCATTCAACCATCTGCGACAAGGACAGATTTTTCTTAAAAAACAAAACAAAAAAAGCACATAAATTAAATCTCCATGGAGCTTTCAGCAGAACTATGCCATGAAAATATCTCTGTTTGAAAAAACTAAAGAAAAGCCAAGGATTGCTCTTGATTTCATCATGAACTGGAAGACTTCCAACATGCAAAGCCTAGTAATGGTGACTCAAGGCTTTTTGAGACCTTGGGTTGTATCACTCCTCTCTAGGTCCACTAACCTGCAAGGGGCAAATTTAAGAAATTAAGGATCCTCTTAAGTGCATCTGATTTTCCTAGGATAGTATGAACAAAGTGGAAATTGTTGCAGGATTAACGAAAAGCTGCCTAAATTCTCTTTGTCTTGGGATGTTTGCACTTTCTGGGCATAGTTGCAGAGTTTTAGAATACTCAGACCTGAGCACCATCATGCAATATCTTTGTTTTCTGATGGACTGAACTTGTTTCTCCCAGGAGCTTGCTGAAGTTAGATATGATGGTTCATCACACAGAAAGCAAGGAAAATTGAGGAAACTGGTTACAGCACATTATTTTAAGCGATTGGTGATATATTTTAATAAGAAGGTTGAGTACAGCCTCAGTCTTTATCACATTCAGCAGAACCAAAGAGATGGAATGAATTGTAGAGGAGGTTGTACAAAGATCCAATTGCTCTTTTAAAATTTCTCTCTTTGTGTGTTAAGTGTCTTATGTAATAGAAGGAGAGGCCACTTACATGGGAACTATTACTTTGTATAAATAACCCAGTGGTATTTTTAACATTTATCTTGCCAGTTTAACAAATTTCTTCTGAATAAAACTGATGATTCTCAAAAATGCATTATTAGGACTTATATAATTACAATTTTTCCAGCTCATGAATCAGTTGTTTTATATGAAAAGCACTTCTTCAAGTAGCTATTGGGGTGGGATGGGGAAATAATGTCAAACGTCCCCTTCCATTATGCACTGCAATAAGCAAATTTACTCTGGTGCAAGAACTTATGACAAAAGATTTTTTTATATACAATTCTCTTTCTTGCAAATTATAATAGAATCAAATGATGACTGAACCCTTACATTAGAAAATGTTCTCCTGTTTGGAGAACTCTGGCACAGGACAAAAATATTAATATAATCAATACACACACTCCTTCTAAGTCCTTGCTTAGATACTGAATTAGTCGAAATTATAGTAAGTTCGTTGAAAGTGGTAGGATAAATTCAGTTCAACTAAATTCAATTTCAGTTTTTTTCAGTGGATGTATATGAGCTGCTTATCCTAATGCTCACCAGCCAATTTTACAGAATGTACTTTCATGTCTTAGCCTTTGTCTCATTTTCAACCCACTGCTGTGGCAGCTTATGTTCATCTTTAGGAGTTTTGAGTTTTTCCTCTCCTGACACGTTCAGTCATGCAAACATTCTGTAATGCCTTACTGACAAGACAGGTGATGATAAAGTCAGGGACTGGGATCTGCCCAACTCCCAATGACTAACTATGGTTTGCTGTAGTCACCCCCTTCTCTTAAGTCACTGGGACACATTCTTCCATGAGCTGGAGAAAACATCAGACTCCTGACTTGTCTTTGAAGAGGGAACCCTCTCGTGTCCTTATGACTGATACTCAGGCTATTTCTGCACATGCATCTACAATATTGGTCTTCTGCAAGATCAGTACTATATACCTGTAAACAAAATAGCCCAGGTGACATGTCAATGGGGCAGAACATAGACCCAGGTTGAAGCAGAAAGAAGCTCTTTCAATGCATCCCTTCAAAAGTTTCTCACTGCAACCCTCCTCCTGCCCATCGGCTTTTTAGTCTGGTATTTGGACACAGCTTTATTAGTTTTTCAGAAGACTACTAGGCTCATGTTTAGAAATAGACTGAATACAGGTTATCGGTGAAGAATATCTCCATGCTGATGACCAGTCACACTTATGATTGGTTGTATGTTTCCACTGCAGGTGAGGATACATAGGAAATAATTCTAAGTCAGAGAATCCACCAGACTCTATATTTGTATGGTTTCACAATTAAACTGTAATGACAGGTACTCTTCAGGCCTCATTAGGGAGGCAGATTAGAGCTTAGTTGTTAGGACAACACTAATTATACAGATGAGAACTAGTGTGGCATACTGGTTAAGGTCCAGGCTAGAAACTGGGAGACCATGAATTCTAGTTCACACTGCGGAACAAAGCCAACTGGGTGATGTTGGGCCAGTTACCTTCTCTCAGCCCTAGGAAGGAGGCAATGGCAAACCACTCCTGAAAAATCTTGCTAAGAAAACTGCAAATACTTGTCCAGGAAATCTAGAATCAGACATGATTGAGCAGAAGGGGGGGAAAGTATTCTGGTAGAGTTTTCTGCCATACCAAGGACTGAAGGAATGCACATTCATGTTGTAAGGAAGAATTTTGAGACTGTTGTTTCTAGCCATCGATACCATTACTTAAGATGATTTTTTTTAAAAAAGGAAATCTATTTGTCAGCTTTTAAACCATCTCACAATTACTCCCAGATAAATTAGAAACAGATTTTTCTCAAAATCCACTGGCCATAACTGAGTTTAGAGAAGCGATAGTGAACCCTTTGAGCTTGATGTGTCAAAAATTCGGAAAATGTCTAACGTCACTGCTGGCATATCACCGCCCCTCCCCCAGGAACAAAAAAGAAACAATTCTTTATATACTCATTTATTTTAAAACAATATACTTCAGTCATGTGTGATGCTATGTATTATATAAAGAAATGTCAAATAATTACAAAAATGAAATATGAATAAAACAAATTCATTTTAATGAGCACTGTCTTAACTAATTATATAAGTGCCCTAAATTAATTATATATTGAACTAAAATAATCCAAAGTTTATCTGAATCTAACTTCTCCCATGTTAAATTAGTTCCTTAGTGAGGTTTTATTTCCCCTCTCTGATTTGAAGGCAGAGATGAAATCCTAGGGAAGCACTGTAAAATAGGCTGCTCTAGGAATTCCACTTCTGTCACTCTCTTACTTTCTATTCCCTAGAGCAGTGCTTCTCAAAATGTGAACTGAGGAAGGGGTTCTCAAGATCCTTTCAAGATGACTGCAAAATCAAAGAAATGTATTAAAACCTCTCTGTTTTAACTGCTAATAAATATCTGTAGATATAACTCACACGAAAGCTCCTTGGGGGTTATCAATCATTTTTAAGAATCAAAAAGGGTTCTGAGACTACAGTGTTCAAGAACTGCTGCTCCACAGCTACAGGGAGGAATAAAAAGGAGACACAGGGCATACTTGCTATTCCTGTATATTAGGTGGGATAAAGTATTATGTGAGAAGTTTATTCTAAGCACAAAAATTATCTGAATAAAATTACATTCTGGATAATGAACATCTTTCAACCTGTTCACTGAACCCCCCCTTAATATTGTGTGGTATGTGTAGAATCACAAGACATAATGCAAACCTATGGGTATTTTTTAATATTTTTCTAGAACATAAGTTGGAAGCAGGAAAAAATACCTTTAAGAAAGAAAGTCATCTGCATACTTCAGGTACAGGAATTGCCTCAGGCTACATCTGATGTTGTTGTAAAGGGCAGAGAACTGCAGTGGATATGGGAATAAAGTAGAATGGGTAAAGCTCATGAACATGACTGCATCATGCCAAAGATTTCCTGAGACAGGTAATTCTAGGTTTTTTAAAATTGTATCAAACTTTCCCTGATTTCCGTGATTAAAATCCAAACAATTACACAGACACACACACACACAGAGAGACAAATTATAGATACAGAAAAGACATTACTTTCTCAACACACACATACACACAAATGCACATATTTTTTCTTTACACACACACACACACACACACACACACTCCAAGTCATTAGCTTATATTTGTGAGAGTTGGAAGTGGAAATGTTAGAACAAGACATAATTAAGAAATCCAAGCTAAATTGTATTACAGGTAGTCCTCACGTTATGAACACAATTGAGCCCAAAATTTCTATTTTTAATTTAGATATTGTTAAGTGAGTTTTGCCCCATTTTACAATCTTTTGTGCTATAGTTGTAAAGTGAATCACTGCAGTTGATAAGTTAGTAACCCAGTTGTTAAGTGAATCTGGCTTCCTTGTTGACTTTGCTTGTTAAAAGGTTGCAAAAGGGGATCACATGACCTTGGTCATAAATATGGTCATAAACATATGGTCATAAATGATCATAAATATGAACCAGTTGCCAATCATCTGAAATTTGATCACATGATCATAGGGATGCTGCAATGGTTATAAGTGCGAAAGTGGTCATTAATCACTTTTTTCACTGCTGTGTTTAACTTTGAATGGTCACTAAATTAACATTCCATGGAGCAACCATGAAAGATCCTGCAGGGTTTGGAGATGATACACTGGTAACATGGAAAAAGAGAAATTTGGGGGGAGGGATTTAGATTGAGCAGCTGATATAAAAAAATGTGCTGAGACAGCATGAGGGGGATGTCAAGATGAAAGGGCCAAGATAAATGTCTGTAGCCTACAGTTATTTATTCATTGTTATTAATAGTTGCAGTTGTTCCTTTACCACAATGATCCCACCATCCCAGTCTTGGGGAAATAGAAAATAACCATACTCCTCTCCAAACCAAACTCATTCTGCTCCTAACCCTGTAGATTTAGAAAGAAAGAAATCACCAATTCTGATAACGGTGAGTTTTCCAAGACAGTGGGAGGTGAATGCATTTTAGGTTTTGGAGCTTTGTTAAATCACTGAAACTTTTTGAAATATAACCCCAAAAGAATTCCATTGACAGCATTAAAATTACAACTCCCAGGGCAATGAATTAGGGTGCATCTGGAAACCCTGAACCAATCTTTTTTTTTTTTCAATTAATAGTTCCTAGTCTTCATAAATCTCTTGGACATGTTGCCTGTGTATGTTGTCTACTTTACAGCATGGCCTGATGGGAGAAGCAAAAAAAACATGCAATGGAACAAGTAATATAACCAAGCATTTCCACAATGTTTCTTCACATTATATAGTATACAATTTTATATCCTGCTATCACAACTTTGCCTTTTTCCTAAACTAAACAGAAAGCACTTGTATTGTGATTTTTATTGATGGGATGTTATTCAAGATATTTGATCATTTGTATTGCCTTTTTTCTATTCCTTTTTCAGTTCAACAGTTCCCTTTTGGAAAGGTGGTGGCCAGGAATGTACACAATATTCCAAATGTTGGTGCGTTACTGTCACATTTATTCCAATTCCTTTTCTAACATGGGCCTTTCCTTTAAAAAAATGACTGCTGCAAATTTTCACTGAGCAACATACCACAAGCCTTAAGATTCCTTTTCTGATCAGTCACTATGATTCAGATTCCATCGTCATATTTATTGCAGGATATCTTTTGGGTCAAAATTAATTTTTGGGAGGCAACATAGGGTTGCAGAACAGTGGCTGTAAAAGCATTTATAAATGGATAGATGATTATGCAACCCTCTCCCTTTTCCTTATCTTGGGGGGGGGGGTATTTTTACTAGTTGTTGTTTCAGGTGTTAAATGCATTACAGGGTATACACAACAGTTTTGTTACACTGCCTATCTATAAATGGTAGGAAGACACCTCTGAAACTCAGTGTTATCAGAAAGGATTCTGTGAATGCCAAACTATGGAAATATAGTTCGCCACACCATGAACCTAAAGTTTGCCTGGCAACATGAAAGAAATGGCTTTCTCATGCTTTTTTTTTTTTTTTTTTTAAGGGTTTTCAACTTCCCAGTCCTGCCTAGAGCCTTGATATTTTTGATATCCTCATCTGGCTAACTTGTCTAGTTCAGTATCTCAACAGAGCCTGGCAGAATGTTTATGAAGCACTGTTTTCTGACTTCCATTTACACCAGTAAAATGTTTTTCTTCATTTGTCTAGTGTCACAGTTGATGGGCATGTGCTAGAAACTTCAGATACTGCTATAACTCTGATTCGTTTTATAATCTTGAAAAAAAATCAACAGTCTCTGTGTTTGTTTCAAATACTGACACATACTTTGTACGCACCCCATCCATAGTTGAATTTATGGTCATTGCCCTCTAACAATGCTGTTCTTTAACTTACTGGGTCTGATGTTCTGTTGGCCATTCCTCATAATACGAAAGGCCAAAGAGAATCTTAAATGCATTATTTAATAACTCATGCTTGGAAGACAATGGTGAGTTCTGTATAAGAATTTCAAAGTTTGCCTGGTTCGGCAAATGGGGGTGAAGATAGTGGAAAAGGAATTGCAAGGCTGTTATTTCAAAAATGACTTGAGACCAGAAGAGCTCAACATGAACAGGTTGATAACTATCTCATTTTGGGCCTGTCATCCACCTTTCAAGTCTTTCCTTTCTGACCAATGGTTTACGAGTATGTCTCAATTTAGAAAGCTTGGGGAAGATTCCTTCTTCTTTCTCAGCTCTTGCTTTTAGCTGCCAGCATTTTGCGCCCACTCAACAGTGAAATTTCTGCTTTGCTGCTCCTGCAAACTCCTTCCTTTCCCCAAAGCTCTGTAATTCAAATACCCATTTTTAATATACCACCTAAGCGGTATCCCCTTTAGGCAGCAGAGAAGAGCACTTGCCTGCACACATGCACACACACACACACACACACACACACACACACACACACACGAACACACAAAAAAATAATATTTATATAATTGTTGGATTATCTCTGAAGATTTCTGTGGACAGTTTTCCTGCATAATTAAAAAAAAAAAGATTAGTGCATGCCCTCAGATAAAGCATCATATAAGAATTCTATACCATGTATTATTTGTGTTCATAGGTATCCACAGCAGAGCAGGGAAAGGGGGGCAAATGTCAAAATGCACATTGTGACATCACAATAGATATCCTATAATATATGTGTTTGTAACAACTCATATCTTGTTTTTTTCTATTAGCAATGGACATTTAATGCTTACAGACTTACTTCAATCATCATCATCACCATTGTCATTAGGACTGTTATCCCTCCACCACCACCTCCTCCTCCTCCTCCTCCCTTTCATTCTCATTCAATCTGGTGGAAATCAACTTTTTTTCTTCTATTTTTTCTAAAGAAAATGACTCTTGGAAATTGGTCTGAGAATACTTGCATTCACATTGATTGTGAGTAGCCATTTGGATCTAAATGAAAGGATTGCCTTTTAGTTTCCTCAAAGTTATCTATCTTGTGCCCTTCTCTATTATTCTTTAAGTACTTGAGAAATACTTGAGAATCTCCTTTAAACTCTTTAAAATTCAGGTCCCTATGCATTCTGTACTGTTCACTTTTGAGTTCATGTGATTGAAAACAAATATCCATCAGAAAAGTGGAAATGAAACAGTTTGTCCAGGATCTAATATTCTGCATTACAGCAATATAATGAAACAACAGCAGTAACAGTAATACAAGGTTTTCAGTCCTGCAATCATTCAAATGCACCCTATGGAGATAATAGCCAATTCCAATTTAGTTTCTCATCTATTTTGGGGGGAGGGGGCAGTTAGACCTCAGCTTGTATCTTGCTGAAATTCTTCCTCCAGAATTAATTGCTTTAAGGAATGCTTCATCTCCCGATTGCTCTTTCTTCAGCTTATTTTATTTTTAAAATAGATACTGTAGAGCAGGGAAAATAAAATCTTCAAGTATTTCATGAGATGCAACTAAAATAAAATACTAACGATACAAGTTTTATGTGCATTCAAGAAGCAAGACCATTCTGCTTCTTTTTCTTTTAAGCAGCTTGAAATATTTTCTCTACTTATATGAGAGAGAATTTGCTATGCTTCCAATCACTTAGGTTTTTATATTTTGCTTTAGCATGGGTCCAAGATATTTAGAAGTAGGGCCACAAAGCCCACAGAGAATTTTGGCTATTGGGTTAGAAAGAAAATAAAAGACAAGCAATCATGAAAAAATAACAGCTGATATGACAGTATATTGGTACTTGGCTATACATTTATTTATTTATTCTTTCTTTCTTTCTTTCTTTCTTTCTTTCTTTCTTTCTTTCTTTCTTTCTTTCTTTCTTTCTTTCTTTCCTCCTTTCCTCTCCTCCCCTCCTTTTAAAATGTGCAAAAGTTAAGTTTTTATTCTTTTCACAAATTATCAGAACATACTTTCTTAATGGCTGGATTCACAAAATAACCTAAAACTGAAATCCAGGTGAATAAAACTTAATCACCTCTATACACCAGATTGTTTCTTTAATGGGGCAGAAGAGACAAAGATGACCTACTTTTCATCTCTTTTCTACTGCTCTTATAGGGGGGGGAAAGGCATAAGGCCAGTAACACCAAATGCTCCTCTCTTTGTAATGATCCACATAAATTATCCACAATATTTTTTCAAGCCTGGAAAGTTTTTCCCCTTTTGATGTATAAAGATACCTATACATCACATAAAACTTCTCATTGTTTTTCCTGTCCTGCTTTAATCTGGCTTTTATTCCACTTTACTAGTTTATTGGTATGATATTAGCTGAGAACATTAAACTGTACTTTTTTGCTAATTGAGCTGAATGGTCCGGATGCTTGGTTTGGTCTGGATGTAAGGATAAATTAAGAGTATATTGGATACAAACATACCTGGATATTACCCACAAATATTTTTCAACAATAAGCAATGCCCAGACAAATAAACTTCATTATGGAATATTGGGATAGCTTGATGCATACATATTAAGACAGTGATGGAGTTTCATCAATAGACCATATTACCCATCTCATGTAGTACTATAAACCTGGCCTGCGTTTCAACCAAGCCTAGAAATAGTTGTACGGATGGTCCTGTTAAATTATCTCCTGTAATATCTGTACAAAAAGAGACAGCTAGTTTAGTCTTGTATGCTGGATGAAGAAATGTGTTTTATAGGCTGATGCAGACAGTGACTCATTGGGCTGCAACCTTGGCTTGTGGGAAGGGGATCTCTGGCTCCACTACAGATTTCCCTGCAACAGTTGTGCATAGGAAGTTGAGCTCCCATTGCACCTTCTCTGACAAGAACATTTATCAGTTTCTATCCACATTCCCTAATCTCAGAAATAAAATTTATGTCAGCACAAGGGACAGTTGTATGCCCTGTACATCAGGTACAAAAATTGCCTGAAATTGCCTTTTAATTTCCTTAGCTGGAAAAGAAGAACTATCTTTGAAAAACACAGGCAGAATTTTTTTAAAAAACAAGGTTTGTGGTGAGGTAGATGGAGGAGTTAAGATTTTCTCCCAGCTTCTGATTAAAATTGGAATTTGAAGGAAGGATTTTTCAGCCTCCTCCAGGTAACAAATTAATACAGGATAATATACATCTTAAGGATCTGTTTTCTAGTCTAGAGGAATTAGGTAACTATTAGCTAAGAATAACACTAAAGTTTTTTTTTATTTCTCTCTGTTATGTTTAAGTCTAATTGATCATTTCTGTGATGTCCAATACTATCTCTTCAATTCAATTCAATCCAACCATTGTGTCTTTTTCTATAATGTGGAACCTATGATCCAAGTTAGTTCTAAATAAGAACAAACTAGCTTAATCTTGTAATTTGCTCAGAGCCTGAAGCCTTATATATATCTGCACGAGAAGTTCTTTTAAAATGTTGTTTGTATTTTTAACAGCCTTATTTATTTATATCCCACCTTTATTATTTTTATAAAGAACTCAAATGGCAAACATAACTAACACTCTTTCATTCTCCTATTTACTCCACATTAGCAATCCTGTGAAGTAGGTTGGGCTATATTTTTATTTCATCCAGCTTCGATTATTCTGTATATAAATATGTAGCATTAAAAGAGATTATTATCTTTTATCTTCTTCTTTTTAAAAATAAAATCTATTTTTATTTAGCCCTTATAAGATTAATGTATTACCCCAAAAGCAGGGAGGAGCTAATTTCCTTAGCTATACAACTTAATGTTTCTGGGCAGAAAATGGTGCTCCAAAATACCTTTCTTTTTTAAAACCCTTCCCCCCCCCCCAATTTTACTTGCCAGTAAAAGACAAGCAGGCCTTGCGAGACCTATCCTACACCGTACCAGAGTTGTGGAGGTGGATGGGAAATTAGGTGATGTATTGTAAAAACTATGAAGCTGCTAAACCAAGGCAGGATCTCTCTCTCTCTCTCCCTCTCTCTCTCTCATATGACATAACAGAATATTACATTACTACATAAAATTCACAAAAACTGTATATAAAATGTGTACATAAAACATCAGAGCAATGTGTTATTTTAAAAATAATATGAGTGATGAATAAAATTATGAATAAAATAAAATTATATATGAGCAGTTACTGTGGTGGCTATGGCCAGATATCTAGATTGTTCAGCCATTGGACAGCAGTGCCCTCAAGATGATATATTTCATGCAGGAATTCAGGGAACCTTCTGGGGGGGCATTCTTTCATAATATGATATAAAGTTTGAAGGACTTTCCCAGAGTTACATTCAGAATTATCAACTAGCCCCCATTTATATTCCCAATATTGGCACCAATCATGGTTGGTTCAAATCCAGTTGAGCAGAGGTAGGAGATGAAGCTAGGAAACATAGGCCAAAGAGAGTATGGGAAAAGGATTTTGAGACCTACAATCATTCAACCAGCTTGCCTTCAGAAGTTGTGGGTGCTTCATCACTGGAGGTTTTTAAGAAGAGACTAGACAGCCATTTGTCTGAAATGGTACAGGGTCTCCTGCTTGAGCAGGGGGGTTGGATTAAAAGACCTCCAATGTCCCTTCCAGTTCTACTCTGATTGATTGACCCTATGGTCTCAGCTACACTGCTATGGAAACATTTCATATGGGATTATCTTTGGAAACAGGGCAGACTGTAACTCAGTCCATTTGAAGGGCAAGACGTAGGTAAACTGTGATGCTCAGCTTCCTTCCTTCATCTCACCTCCCCTCAGTTCATTGCTATTGAGATGTGTTATACAACTCTTGGCATGGCTACTGGTAAAGAAGTCTGGACCAACATTTCTCAAAATTTCCCAGCCTAATTTATGTCCTTGGTCTTCCATGCTACAGAGCTGCTTCCCCTTAATTCACAGCCTTCATATAAGAGTAGAACCTCCATCATTCCAGCAAAGCAATCATAATAATGGAAATTAATGGAGAAGGTGCTCTAGCAGCTAATGGGAGTCCCAGGTCCCCCAGCTTGCCCTGATTGTGCTGAGAATTGGTCCCACTGGACCCAAAGAACTGGCGATGCCACTTCCCATTTCTATATCCTTCTTTCCATGTCTCCGCCATCTGCTGAACCATACTGGCTGAATTCAATAATACTGGTAAATGCCTATTTTTCTTACATCTCACTACAGCCTGGAAGCACTACTAAATGGCTAATTCGCTTTGTGCTGTTCTTATTCTGGTCACAGCTCTAGCAAAACAGAATATCATGTACTACTAACGATGCCAAAAAGATACTGCATCATCGTTTCTTCTCCTTCTTTAGCTTGCTGTCGGACCTCTTCACTCGCTTCCAGAAAGCAGAAGGAAATCTGCCTCCCCTTCTCTCTTTCTTTTTTCCTGTAAAGGTGGATTAGTATCTTTTACTGCGCTCCGGATGTACTTCTGCCCCGCTGCATTCCTCCTTAAGAGATGGGAGCAGGAGAGGCTCGCTGACCTAAATATAGTCGGATCTTGGTAACGGAGGGCGTAGAGCAGACGCGGGTATGTACGCGTTTGTAGATATATATACTCTGTATTTTTGTGTGTGTGTGTGAGCGCGCGCATCTGCAACAACTGTAGTTGTCAGCGCGAAGGAGTCGAACTGTTTTACTCTAATAGACTTGGGTTAGCTTAACAACCCCCTTTCTCTAGCTAGTTAGATGCACGTCATTACTGTGGTCTTTTTAGGCTACCTAAAAGACAAAGCATGAGCAGCCGTTTATTCCTGCGGAAGTTGCCTTTAATATTTTTAATGTCGCCTCCACAAAGATTTCCACTCCCACCCCCGCACCCGGTCATTTTTTTAAAACGATGTTCAATCCGCTTAAGGGTCCTTGTTACAGTTTTCAAGGAATTTCCTGCTCAAACTGGCAAAAAGCCTCACCGCCATTTTCAGCAACTGGATCCACAGGTTGCTTTATAATTTCATTTCTTCCTCTTTTTTTTAGTCTGGTTTATAACTAACTAGCTAGCTAAATATGATGTTTAATTCTGCAAACTGTCCATGCTCAGTGATCCAGGAACTGCAGTTGGAGCAGAGTGGTGAATAATACTGGATTGGGTGACAGATCTCCAATCACAAAATGTAGGTCTGCGTCTATGTAGGTTTTAGTGTTTTCTTCATCCATTCCGAAGGCTGGTTTGTTGCCATGTTTCATTGTTTGAACTAAGGGGTGATGATTTCTGAGTTAATTATAAAACTCAAATCTATTCTTATGGAAAACAGAGAGGCTGCTTTCCCCAAACCTTTGGTGACCTACATGATTGAAACATGCTTAGTTTAAGACATCAGACCAAAACCAGTTCTTGCAGGTATCATGTTTTGATTGCTCAGAGATGCCCAGAATGGAACCACATTTTTTTCAGGTCTCTTGTTATGCTTTTAACATCTTTGATTTTATTTTTGTTCCGGCTGGTTTTCCATTAACTATCTCTAATGGTGCATGGAAGCTATTATGCTACCTCTCAGAATCATGTTCAGAGGTTAGAATCTCTAGAATCCCTTTATTCAAGGTACATGCTTGTTCAAAATGTCTTAATTTTGTCAAAGAGATCTGAGTGAAAGAATGGAGGGCATACTAAACCCCAATTCTTTTGAAATGTTAGCTCTTCTCTGCATATTATTTATGAGGAATGTGGTTATCACAGCTATTTTTTTTCTACATGACTTGTTTAATTGAAGCACTCTTTGGAGACACACCCAGATTTGTGTACAGTTGAGCATCCAAATGAGTAACTTCCACAGAAGGTCTGATGGGGAAAGAACAAAAGCAATTAATAATGAAAACAGTTGCCTGACCATTCATTATCCAAGCTAGGCAATTTTTTTTTCACTTTATTGAATTGTCTAAGCTCTGTGTTCTGGATACTTTGCAGAGTTTCTCCTTTACAACCAGTTAGGGATGTTTCAATATTCAGGAGTCCTATGCCAGCCCCCTGAATTAATACAGAGACAAGAATGTCTATGCAGTTCTCAGTCGGAATCCGGTTCATGGTTGTTCCAAAGATGCTTTTTCTAAAAGGCAACTGGACTTACTTTGTTTTTCTTTGGAAATGTTTCACTTCTCATCCAAGAAGCTTCCTCAGTTCTGACTGAAAAACACCTTTGGGATGCAGACAAGAACCTAATTCTTCTAAATCTGCAACATGTTACATTTTGTTAGGGGGTTAAAAGACTATCTTTTATAAGGCATCATCTTCAACACCACCAAATAATGGCTATTTAAGGAGGGTTAGAAAGTATGGTACTGATGCATAGCTGGAAACAGGAATTTCAAAATGAGAAATGATGAATTCTATCATTTCCAGGAAAAAAAAACACCTTTTATATGAAGATACGGCCCACTCAGAAACACTGAATAAAAATGTAGTAAAAATTGTTTAGGGCTAGCTGGAATATATCATGTCTGATGGGTCTATAATTTTATGGAAGAATAACATCCAATTTTAAGAATGAGGGAAGGGCACTATGGAAAATGACAGAATTTGAAAAGCTTATATAAAGCTAATACCATGTGCTAGGGTTTGTATACAAATTCCTACATAGATGTGACATAGACATGGAACAAATAATTGCATGATAAAATGGATGCAAAATTTTAAAGAAATGGCTATGGTACAACTATGGAAATTATAGATTAAATCCATAAAATTTACTCCAGGCTTCAATCTAAAAGAAAATTGGTACAAAACATTTTACAGATGATATAAAATTTTGTGAATAGTCTTCAGAATATCTAAATCTTATAGTAATGAATGTTGGAAATGCCATGAAACAGAAGGAACATATTATCATGTAATAAATGCTTAACCCTCCCTTCCTTAAAAGTACTGAAAAGATATACATAGAATATATCTAAATCTTACAGTACAACACAGAATTCTGGGAGTTAAAGTCCACGTCTCTTAAATTTGCCAAGCTTTACAAGCACTGATTTACTATTATAATTTTATTAAACATATGAAAATATATAAAAATAATAATAATAAAGATAATAGGAAAATGTGGAAAGGGAGAAGGGAGAAAGACAGACAGAAGGAAAGGAAAAGGGGGGGGAAGCATTAACTTCTGGCTCTTTTCATCTCAGTAGAATAAAACTAATAATAGTATAGCCTCAATGTTTTACTTTTGCATAGTTAATATATACTAGCCATTTCTATGGAAACAAACCTATCTAATCAGCAAATCCCAAAGTCAAAGTTTAATTTTTGTCTGTCAATTTCCAAGTAGAAAATAAATTGGATATATTCTTTTCTTTAATTAAGAAGAGAAAAGATTAAACTGCTTGATTAAAGCAGTTAATTTGCTTATCTCTGCTAGTTCCATCAGTTTATCCAGCCATTCTTCCAATATGGGAAATAATGTATCTTTACATTTTTGCACATAGAGCAATTCTCACTGCTGTCAATATAAATAACAACAAAATTCTACTTTTTTCCAAGCTGTCCCCTGTCCATTAAACCTATATATATATGGTTTGGTTTTTATATTCATTTTGAGAATGTTCTGTATTAAAAAATTAATCTTACCCCGTACATCTTTGCATTGTCACAAGTCTACCAAAGATGGTAAAAGGTCCTTTCTTTACATTTCCAATATACATTTGAAATATCTTTATATATCTTTTACAATATCTGGTGTTAAATATCAACAATCCATTATATTACAAAAGTTTTTTTTAGATTATATTCAATATAAATTTTAAATTGTTCATCCACATATTTTCTAGTTGTTCAAACATTAAATTACATCCAAAATCTTTTTACCATGGAATCACACAGTGTTGCAGATATTCATTCTCCAAATTCAGTTTCAGGAACAATTTATAAACCTACACAATAACATGTTAATCATTGCCACAAAATACAATTTCAAATTCATTTTTTTATAAAATTAAACCCATAGCTTTTTGTGTATTTTGAATTTTTCAATTATACGGTAAGTAAATAAACTAATAATAGACATGTCCTTCTGACTCTGGCTATTCTTTGGACTTGAGAGTAGGTTCACTTTGATTAAAAATATTATTTGACCATAAGTCCACTTGTTTGGCCTTATCAATGTATATAAAAGAAGCTTCCTGGGGTGAAACCCAAAGAGGTACTTTCATAGAGAACCTTATTTTATATTTATTCCAGGCCCTTAGGATGGCATGCCTAACAAAATGATTCTTAAAATCAACATTTATTTTAACCTTGTCATAAGAAGGCATGCCATCCAAATGCCATCTAAATCAAGTAGTCTCTAGTTTTAGAGAGTTACTCACTCTTTCAAATCTGGTAAATCCAAACTTCCTCCTTTAGCATTTTGCAGTAGTTTGCATCTAATCTTGGGGTTTTTCTGTGCCATATGAATTTACAAATGTCCTTTTGCCATTGTTTAAATAGAATGTCAGTGGCTAATATTGGTAAATTCTGAAATAAAAACAATATATTTGGCAAGACGTTCATTTTAATTACAGAGATTCTACCCAATAGGAAGAAACACTGACCTACAATATGCTTTCTATAGTAAGGTGATCAACTGTCCTCCTTTAGGGAGGATAGTCCTCCTTTTGTGAGTTCTGTCCTCCCTCGAAAAGTGTCCTCCTACATGTCCTCCTTTTTGATATTTGAAGACTAATCTGCAGGGCTTTTTTTCTCTCATAGAATGCTCAGAATGGCGTTCTGGCACCTTTTTTTGATGTTTTTTTTTCAACTTTTTCATGAACTGTGCTACTCCCCCTATTGGCTTTCAAAAGCCAATAGGAATTGCTGCTGAGCGCGCCAAAACACCCGGCCAGCAAACTTTGCACATGTAAGTTGTCTGCAGCAAAGGCGAATTGGCAGGAACTTTGCATCCCTCCCTGCTACCCAAGTACACCATCTCCTAGTTAGTCCCGAAGATACTTGGAGGAGACTGGAGGGCAATAATGGCTGCAGGTGCAAGAGGCAGGGGCGGTAGGGCTGCTGCGGGCGGGGGTATGAGGGTGGCAGTGGTCTGCTGCCCCCTGTGCTGTGGGAGCTGCGGGGTCTGCTCTACACGGGGCTGGGCAGGGTGGGCGGTGGTGCTGGCGGGGTGGCTGCAGGTGGGATGTGTCAATGGCGGGCTGCCCCCTGGGGCCGGAGCCAGCACAGCTGGTGCGTTGGGAGCCGCGGGGCCCGCTCTACACGGCAGGGCAGCAGTGCTGGCGGAGCGGCTGTGGGCGGGCGCGCAGCATGTAAGCATAATTACAATATCAAATGTTATTGTTACAAATGTTTTTTATTTTGCATTTATCATATTATAGTGTATTCTGTATTATTGTTGCAATGAATAAAATGTTTCTTTTATTTACAATATTTTTTTCTTCAATTTATTTGTGTCCTCCTTT